TTATCATTAGGTGGCTGTCAGTGAACCTGGACACCCTGGCCAACATCGTCATCTTCGCCGCGGGCCTGTTCCAGGTCCTGTCTCCGGACAGTGACGCCGGGAAGGCGGGACTCACTGTGTCCTACGCTCTACAGGTAATGGCTGTGTTGTTGTTGGTGGTGGTTGAGGTGGTGGTGGTGGTGGTGTTGTTGTTATTGCTGGTGTTGCTGTTGTTGTTGTTGTTGTTGTTGTTTTTGTGTTAGGGTGGTTGTGATGGTAGTTGTGATGGTGGTGGTGGTGGTGATGATGGTGTTGTTGTTGTTGGTGGAGGTGGTGGTGGTGGTACTTGTGATGGTGATGATGATGAGGATATGATGTTGATAATGGTGATGACGATACCAGTGATGATGATCATGAGGCTATTATTGAAGAAACCCTTAAGGATGAATCGTTCAACATACATTTTTATAATAATATTTCATTATAAAACTTCATAGGCTTAAGTTTCCACCAACATTCTATTAATCGTACTTGCAACGATGATGATGATGATGATGATGATGATGATGATGATGATGATGATGATGATGATGATGATGATGATGATGATGATTTTGATGATACGGATAATAGTGTTGCTAAAGACATGATTGAAAATTATGATGGTAAAGACGATGACACGTATCAACAAACAAGATATTCTTGTCCTCAGTACCATAATGAATCTTTCTTCGCAGATCTCGGGCGGTCTACCTTGGATGGTTCGACAGCTGGCAGATTTTGAGACCAACATTGTGTCTGTAGAGAGGATCAAGGAGTACTCTGAGATAGAGCAGGAGGTGAGTCCAGTGGTCAGCTGTCGGTCAGAGAATACACTAGATAAATTAGATCAGAAGTTAGTTTTTGATCAAGAAATGCTCTTCACAAAAGGAGAGTTGTTCCAAGTATTCTTTAGAAAGGTGAGATCAGAAGATAGTTATTGGTGAAGAAACACTCCACACTAAAAGAGAGTTTTTGAAGTATTCTCTAGATAGGTGAGATAGGTGAGATAGAAGTTAATTATGATCAAGACATACTTTACACAAAAAGTGAGTGGCTCAAGGTATTCTCTTGTCTTGATAGGTGAGATCAGGGGTTAGTTGATGGTCAAGAATAAATACTCCACACAAAATGAGAGTTGTTCTCGGTCTTCTCTTGATAGGTGAGATCAGTAGTTGGTGGTCAAAAAATACTCTACACAAGTAGTTTGTTGTAAAAGGTATTGTCTAGACAAGTGAGATAAGTAGGTAGTTGGTGGTCAAAAAATACTCAGGACCAACGCGGTCGTAAAACATTTACTTCAATAAAACTTTCCAATAATCCACTTCTCCGTTTTGGCTCTCCACTCATCTCTCATCCATCCCTACCTTCTGTCTCAGTACTGAACCATCTTTCCTCCTGTCTCTACATTCATCCTTCGCCCCGTTCTGTTTCCCCGCTCATCCACCTCACCTTCTGTCTCTCCACTCACCCATCCTCCTGTTCTGTCTATCCTTTCATCCATCTCCTATCCGTCTCGCCTTTCTCCCATCTCCACATTCTGTTTCTTCATTATTCTGGTACACTCACCCCC